TCGCTGGAGAAGGATGTCATGCGTGGTAAGATGGAGGGTCAGAGAAAAAGAGGAAGACCCCCAATGAGATGGGTTGGCCAGGTGGCATCATTTATAGACTCAATTGTGTCAGCTGTAGTGAGGTTGGCCCAGGATCAGACATTGTTTCATTCTGCTGTGCATGGGATCGCTATGAGTTGGTTCTGACTCGATGGCACCTGACAACAACAACAACAATGGTCAGCACTTAACAACAATAAACATTATTAATGATTGCCAGATAAAGAATATGTTGAGTGTCTAGAAGTAATACAACATCTCTATACACTACAAATATCTATTGTGCACTTGGTATATCCAGTTACTATGATAAATTCTCATCTTCATTCAATTAGAGGATAGAGAGGGACAAGTTTAGAGAGGATCAATGTTTTGCCTAAAGGCAAAAAAATAGGTAATACACTTGGGTTTATCTAACATACTCCATGATCTTAGGCTTTAACCAATACATTTTATTCCATCATGAAAATAATACAATAAAAGAGACATTGAATTCTAATGACTCAGCAAATTAAATTGAAATAGGTGGAAATGCCTCTTAATTGATGTGTTGTTGTTGTTAGGTGATGTCAAGTATGTTCCAATGCATAGTTACCCTATGAATGACAGAACAATACAATACCCAATCCTGTTCCATCTTCACAATAGTTGCTATGCTTGAGCCCATTGCTGCTGTCACTATGTCAATCTATCTTCTGAGGGACTTCCCCATTTTTGCTGATCCTCCACTTTATCATGTATAATGTCCTTCTTTATGGATGGGTTCCTACTGATAATATGTCTGAAATGTGAGAGATGAAGTCTTGTCATCCTGGCTTCTCAGGAGCATACTACTACTTTTTATAATGCAGATTTGATTGTTCTTCCAGAAGTCCATAGTACTTTCAATATTCTTCACCAACATCATAACTCAAATGCATCGATTCTTCTATGGTCTTCCTTATTTATTGTCCAACTTTCACATGCATATGAGACAATTGAAAATACCATGGCTTGGTTAAGATTCACCTTAATCCCAAAAGTAATATCTTTGCTCTCAAACACTTTAAAAAGATCTTACGCAGCAAATTTGCCTAATGCAATACATCATTTGATTTCTGGGCTGCTGTTGCATGAGTGTTGATTGTGGATCCAAGCAAAATGAAAATTTTGACAACTTCAATCTTTTCTCCATAGTGTGGCACTGTAGGACAAGCACTCGACCATTGTTGGGAGCAACTGAGCCAAAGGTCCTCAGCATGGGGATAGTTTAACCAAAGGATTGTGGCTGACCCCTAGGTTATTGCAAAGCTTAACCATGGGACATGGAAAGTCAAAGGCGCTCCTTGTCACAGTCGTGGTCCAGAAACTCGGGCTGTACCCAAGTCAGGCTGCCCCAGAGAGTCTGCAAAGCAGTCCCTGGGAACAGGGAACCTGCAAAGCATGTCCTTGTACACAGCCATGACCTTTAGCTCAGTCTGCACAAACATTTAGCTGCTCCAATCTCTCTTTCAGCTAGCTACCCAAAGTTACAGTTTTTCTGATAAATTTCTGCTTACTGCATGCACAAACAGCACAAAGTGTTCTTGCACTTTTTACCCTGCCCCAAGCACTTCCCTGTGATATGTGTATAAAATAAACTTGCTGCACCAAGTCTGGGTTGCAGTAGCTCCATCAGAATGCTACATCCCACCTGGTCCCAACTTTTACTTAATTTATTTGTGTCTTGTGTCTTCCTTTTCAGTCTAATCTCCCATTGTCTCTATTTGGGTTTAATCTCTCCATGCCTGATGCAGAGAATAGGCTAAACTGGATGCGGCAGACCATAAATTTGGTTTGAACTGGAAAGTCAGTGGTTCAAACTCATCATCTGCTCCTTGGACTCACAGGGTCACTATGAGTGCAAACCAATTCAAGGGCACTTAAGAAAAACAACATCATAATGTCATTTATTAGTCCAGTTGTGAGAATTTTTGTTTCCTTTACATTGAGGTGCAAGTAAGTATTTTAAGTCCTCTTCCCTTTTAGCAAGCAAGGTTGTAACACCTGCATATCACAGGTTGTTAATGAATCCTTCTCCAATCCCGATGCCATGTTGTTCTTTTTATAATCCAGCTTCTCACATTATTTGCTCAGCATACAAATTGAATAAGTAAGGTGAAACAATACAGCATTGGCAACCCGTTTCCTGATTTTAAATCATTCAGTGTTCCCTGGTTTTGTTTGCATGACTTGGTCTATGTATGGGTTCCTCATGAGCACAACTTGTTAGTTGTTGTTGTTAGGTGTCGAGTCAGTAAACATTTAAAGCCACACTATGCACAGTAGAAAAAGGATCCAATAACTGCAAGAGAACTCAGACATAACTAGCCTCCAAGTCTCGTTATATAAATTCAGAAATTGAAGCTGAAAGGTTAAATAACTTGCCCAAGGCCATTACAAAAGTTTGTGGCCTAGCCAAGTTAGAACACTACTGACTGAACGCCAAATAAAGGACAGTGATATTCCCTATTGTTCTAGTTATCATCAGAGTCAAGGAAAACATGAAGTAGGGCTCAGTACTGTCTTCCTTAAGACAGTCTTTGAGCCCTGTTACAGAACTGAGCTTTTTTTGTTTTTTTCCTTTTTCTTTTAATGAGATACAAAATAAACCTTGCTCATAAAGATTAAGATCACATTTTAAATTATTTTCCACACTCTTTGCAGGGTGGCTATGAGACAGAACTGACTCCATGGCACACAACCACAACCACCACCACCATACATATAAGTATTCTGGACAGCCAATATATGTCATTTTTATTCTTACTAATAACCATCAACCCTTTAATTATTTCTGAAAAACAAAAGTATCCGTTGTCATTGAAATGTTTATTTCCTTATTCAACTAGTGTAAAGTTGACAGGTGGGGAGGGAGTGATGAGTAAAGCACAGGAGAAAGGTGGTAAAACTGGAAAGAGGAGACTCAAAAGGCGAGAGCAAAATGTTTAAAAGTGGGGAAGGGGGGTTATGAAATGGAAATGCAAATGATCCTTAATCCCCATTATCCACTAAAGGAAAATTTCCTTTGAATTAATATTCATTCTTTTCAGTGAAGATAATTCATTTCCACAAGCAATTGTTTTTCAAAGACAAGTGGTCTGGGGGTAGTTTTCTTTTTTTCTGCCTCCACTGATGGGTTATTTAATAGCAGTTAAAAGAGTCCTGGTATGGTGCTGTTAGTAAATGTGCTGGACTACAAGGTCGGTTTGAAACTCAGTGTCGGCAGTTTAAGCTCACCAGCTGCTCCTCAGAAACCCTACAATGGGTCGCTATGAATTGGACCCGACTTGATGGCACTTAACAACAACAAAGTAGTGTACTTTTCCTAGCTTAGAAAAATTATAAGGGACTTCAGAATTATATACTCTAAAACCACAATGATTTTTTTTTCTCTTGAGCAATACAATATTTCCTTTGATTACGGACATGCACCCCTTAACATCAGTTTGTGCAACCTTCAATTGCATGTATGTCTGTGGTTCCTTGGCTTCAGAATTTCTGGTATGAGACATAGCAGACACAAGCATATATAGTGAATGCAATAATTTCCCATACACAATGCATGCATCTCATGTTGCTTGTATATAAAGTATATATACTTGTATATACAATGCTAGGTATATAATTGCTGTTGTTAAGTGTCTTTGAGTCAATTCCAACTTATAGCAACCCTGTATAGGATTCCCAAGGAGTGCAAAGCACGTTTGAACTGCCAACTTTGTGGCTCAAATCGACCTTGCAGTCTAGTGCATTATCCCATAGCGTCATACCAGGAATATAATTGTGCAGTGCATTCAGAACTTATAATACATATGTCTTGAAAGTCATAATAAATGCTTATGTTACTGGCATATATGTACTATACTGTTCTTTCTATTATTATTTTAATGTGAACTTTCCCTGATTACAAATAAAAAGTTTTTCGTATCACAATATGTGCTTCAACTTCTAGGCAGCAGCATCCAATCTTGTGTATCCCATCTCTCTTGCGTGTTGTTGTTCAATCTTGTGTATTCCATCTCTCTTTTTTTTTTTTTAAATGGACAATCATATTGTTTATTTAATAGATTATCAACTTTGTCCCCATACCTGCTTAAAACTGGAATTTCTTATTTCCATTCCAGTAATAATACAATGACAAAGTTAATCAGAGTAAGCTATTTAAAGAGAACTAAGCTCACTTTCTTTTAACATGCAAAACATAAATATACACATTCTAGAAAGCACTAGTTAGCCACTAGAAATTTAAATTGAAGAATGTAGGAAAATCCAGAGTGCCATAACGAGCTGAGATGCTGTGAATATGTTTTAAGGGTTCCTGGTGTTTCATCTCTTACCAGTAGCAGAATCTTGACAAGCTAATGCCAAAGTGAAAGCACTCAGTTGACTTAGGACTGTGTACAGGAACCAAAGGGCAGGAAATCACTAAACGTTGCTGAGAGCATCCACCCCAGGAAGAACTTTACCTTTCAGGAACTCCAGACTAGCACCACCCCCAGTGCTCACATGGCTGACTTTCTCCTCAGTGTTCCATTTGGCACAGCAAGTGGCAGTATCTCCACCACCTATGATAGTGATGCAGCCCCTGGAAGTGACTTTTACCACCTCATCCATGAGGGCTTTGGTTCCCCGGGCAAAAGCTTCCCATTCAAATACCCCCACAGGTCCATTCCACACAATCTGCTTAGCCCGAGTGACAGCCTCTGCATACTTCTTGCTGCTCTCAGGACCACAGTCCAAGCCCATCCAGCTAGCAGGTATGCCAGAGGCCACAGTGGCTTGGCCAGTTTTGGCATTCTCATCAAACTTGTCAGCAATGACAAAGTCAATAGGCAAGGTAATCTTCACACCATTCTTCTCAGCTTT